TTGATCTTTGTATTACACTTTTCGCATTTTTGAGTAGGCTGGCTCTCCGTCCACGGAGGCCCGCGAATAGCAATCAAAACCGAGCGAGAGGCCGGGCTCGAAACCCGCCTCCCGTGATGGTGGAACCTGGAATTGGGGGTGAAAACGACGGTGATAACCACGCGGGGATGGCCAATCATCCCCTGTATTTTGTACCTCCTCCCTTCGAAGTTTCCATTTTTTCTGAAGATGACACCGACCGTCGTACCTGGCTAGCTGCCTTGAAAACCCAGGGTTGGTCGGACCAGTTGCTCCGAGAACGAATTCCCGGAAGGTTAGCCGGGACCGCTTTTGAGTGGTATGGACATAACCCCTTCACCAATTGGGCAGCCGTCCAGAGGAAATTTCTCGATAGGTTTGATCACATCGCACCAGGTCAATGCCTCTGTTTAATAAAGGAATACACGCAGCAGCCTCGGGAGACCTTGGCCAGATATGCTGAACGTTTTACGTACTTAGCCGAATGCTCCGGGGTGGAGGAAAAAATGGTACGGACTGATTTCGTCAGAGGACTGTCAGATTCTCGTCTGTGGAAAAAGATCCGCAAAAAATGCAACCCTATAGAACATACCCTGACGGAGCTAATTCAATATGCAATTAAGTACGGGAAAGAAAATTACGATGTGGGCCTGTACACAGAATCCGACGAAGATGACCCTTCGGGTGTTCGACGCAATAGCTACTCCGCTACGGCACGAATGTTCGAAGATCGCTTCGGGTTGGGGCCTGCAAAAAAGGGCGTGGATCAGAAAGCTTTTTCCTCTGGTTCGACCTCCCGTCGCCCTAGTCAAGCACAAGGAGGCCGGGGTGAGGAAGAAGTGTCCATGAAGGAGGTCGCGGCCTAATTAGTTACGGTAGTGGCCCCATTGACGGAGTTTGTTCAGGGCCTGCAGCGGCAACGCCTAGCCGCCGCACAACGGCAACAAGCGGCTATGGCCACCGGGGCCCCTATGATAAGACCGGCCGTCGCCGGGGCTGTCCAGTCCCTACGCTGTTATAACTGCAATCAGTCAGGTCACCTTGCGAAAGATTGCCCGAAACCTCGAGCTCAGGGTGGGCCCGCTGGGCCTTCCCAAATCCCGTTGGCTGCTCCAACCGCTGCAGGACAAGGGAGGGTGGCCAGGGTGATGGATACCGGGGCAATGAAAATGGTGACCCCTGCGGCCACCGAGATAGGGCCTGATGAATACATGGCTGCGGCGATGTTCGAACCCGGGACCATCGGGGTGATATGCCACGTCCAACAAATTACCGAAGAAAGCGACCTCGGACCGTGGCGACCAGGGTTCGAAGACCTTGCGGCGCCTGACCCTGAATACAAGGATGGCCATATCGACTTATTGGATGCCTTGAAGGCTCTGGATCTTCGGATCCCCGTCCCTATTCCCTATCTGCTAACCATTTCCGAAGCGGCTAACGAAAAGTTGATCGAACGGTGCCTCAAAAACAGGCGCCGATTTGAGGAAAGTCGAAAGGGCAAAAAGTCGGTCCTACGGGACCTACCCACAAACGAGGAATCGCAGCCCTCGACCTCAAAGGTGCACGAAGCCGACCGGATAGGAATGATCCAGACCGTAGACTTTGCCTCGGAAAAACCTGAGGTATTCCTCCGAGCCTATCCTATAACCTGGAAAAGCGTTGAATGTGACTGCGAGGTCTGGGGAAATCCCTCGGCCGCCATCCTGGACTCGGGATCGTTGGCGGTCGCCATTTCTTGGAGATTGACGAAACAGTTGGGAAGGGAAGGACAGGTTCAACCCCTCCGACCGGATGAATTGTATATATCCGCTACAGAGGACATTATTCATTGTGAAGGGTGAATAACGAACGTGCCTATACGGGTGGGGCGGGTGCATTGTTTGTGTGACGTGATCGTGCTGGATGKACAGGCGTATGATGTTCTGCTAGGCATTCCGTGGCAGGCAGCGGTCGGAGCGCGAATGCACTTTGACAGCTGTAAGGTGGTGCTCACATTGGCCCACCCCAAACCCCAAACGATACCAATGAGACTGGCGGTGCGCATGCGCACCCAGCTGGCGCCTCGGCTCACCACGAAAGCCCATCAAATCAACATGATCTGACACCTGTCACCAGGCGAAAATGAACCTTCGACGGAAACTGATGAGGCTGATGTACCCGACCGATACACGATCTGAGTCCAGGATCGATGGCGCCATTCTTGGCAGCGAGAACCACTGGAAATAGTTCGGAGCGAGTCTAATTGGTCGCACGCGTTCTCCTCCGTGGTGCAGGGGGAGCCCCTGCTGAGGGTGTCCCGAATAGCTGATCTTTTGGAACCCCCTGCGTCCTTGTATCTCAGGACGGACCCCCTACCTGAAAGATTTACCGAGCTTAGAGGGCTGTGTGATTTATCTTTTCGACCTCCACGGCCCCTACTCACGAATGAAAAAGCCGCGATACTCCTGAAAGAGGGAGTGTCGCTTCAACCCCGAACAAGGGAGTATCGGTGGGAACCGAGGGAACTGGCACAGGCCTTTTCGGTAGAACCCTCGGCTGAACCCGAACTGGACAGTGACAGTGACATGGAAAGCGAGCCGATGAGTCAGGCGGACAGTCAACTTATCGCGACTGTCCTTTCGGCAAAAAACGACAACTCTTTGTTTGGGGCCTCGCCCGATGCCAGCGCGACAGTCCCCACGGTTGCGACGACGGTCTCCCTTCCTGGGGGAACCGTAGAAGTTCAGTTACCAGCCCGTGTTCCGAATGAATACAGACGCCTCCTCCTAGCGGTTATACGGGCCTATCCTGAGGCCGTCAGTATCCAAGACCACGACATAGGACGAACCCCTTTGATACAGCATGCGATTGATACCGGGGATCACGCCCCGATACATTGCCGACTGTACCGATATTCCCTTAAAGAAAGACAGCTGGCGTTGGAAAGGGTACGGGAATTCGAGCGGTTGGGGGTGGGTCGAACCATCGTTGGGACCGTGGTCTTTTCCCGTGGTCCTTGTGCCAAAACGAAATGGTTCGGTCCGGGTGTGTATCGACTACCGAAAATTGAATGCTATCACTACCAAACATGTGTATCCCTTGCCGCGAATCGAAGATTTGTTAGATGCTATCGGGGTCGCTCGAGTCTTTTCCAAGTTCGATATCCGACACGGTTTTCACCACGTCGCAGTCCGACCGGAGGACCGACCCAAAACCGCTTTTGTCCTATTTGAGGGCACGTGGCAATGGGTCCGGTGTCCCATGGGAATTTGTAACGCCCCTGCATCATTTCAGCGGACAATGAATATGGCATTCGCTGAGTTTGTTAACAAAACCCGGCTGACCCATCCCCTGATCAATTTCTGCGTGATTGTGTACATGGATGATATTTTGGTCTTTTCAAAAACACACGAGTACCACGTGGAACACATTGAGTGGGTATTGCATGCCCTAAAAGATGCGGGGCTCAAAGTGGCCTTCGAGAAAAGCGAGTTCTACTTGTCGGAGATCTCATTCTTGGGGTACATCGTCACGGTCGATGGACTAAAACCGGATCCGAGGAAGGTGGCAGCAGTTCAAAAAGCCCTGGCGCCGGTCACACTCACCCTGGTTCGGGCTTTTCTAGGGCTGGCATCCTATTACCGACGCTTCATCAAAGGGTTCGCCGGTACAGCGAAGCCCTTTATGAACCTACTGAAGAAAGAGGAACAGCTGATCTAGACGCCGGAATGCGAAGCGGCGATTCAGGTGTTGAAGGAGGCTCTGACATCTGCTCCTGTGTTGGCGCGTCTCGACCCGACAAGACCGTTCGCACTGTACACCCACTTGCAGCCTCAGGCGATATCGGCGGTGCTGACTCAACACGGGGCGGGCGGAAGGGAACACGTCATTGAGTATGCGTCCAAGATGCTGAGCCAGGCGCAGGCTAATTACGAAGCGTGCAAAGGTGAATGCCTGGCGGTGGTGTGGGGGATCCAGCATTTTCGACCGTATCTTTACGACCAGAAATTCGTGCTGGTAACGGATCATCAGCCGCTGTTGTCCCTACGCAACAACACGGACTACACGGGAACGCTGGGCAGGTGGGCGGTGCGTCTGCAAGACTATGACTTTGACATCCGCCACCGTGCCACGCGGCAGCATGGTAACGCCGATGGATTGACGCGCCTCCTGCCGCCCAACAAGTGTTCCACCAATGAGCGACTCATTCCGTGGAGGCCAGAAGTCGCGGCGACGAAACTGCACTACGGGGAGCTACACGTGATGCACAAGAACGATACCTGAGCCAGAAGTCGCGGCGACGAAACCGCACTACGCAAGACCCTATGACCAGCCCGAATTCGCAGGAAGTAGCTTGGTACGTAAACCGATTTTTGTGCATGCATCTAGACGTAGAAGAGGTACACATGGACAATGGGTCAGAATTTCAAGGCAAAGTAGAGCGTCACCTAGTCCGGACGGACATTAAGATTATCTACTCGCCAGGGCATTGGCCTCAAGCCAATGGCCTAGTAGAGAATGCCAACCGCCTGATTAAGACCGCCCTTAGACGGAATATCACTGCAGGAGACACCCAGCCCTGGCCGGTCATTGTCGACCACATCTTGGCCGTTTATCGGGCTACCCCACACGACAGTACCGGGGTGTCCCCCTTTCAACTGAGAACCAATAGTGTCCCTCGGGTGCATTTGTCCCCCTTAGTAGGTACGGAAGTTAGAGCAACACGGGCCCAAAACCGAGATAAGGCCCGCCACTACATGGACTTAATGGCTAGGGCCTATCCCCCGTTAACTCGCCGTCGACAGCGGGCCATAGATCGGACACATCAACGGCAGATCCGTGACTACGAGAATCGACACGTGTCGGCGGAACCACTGCCCCACTATAAAGTTGGGGACTTGGTACGGAAATCTGCGCGCTCCTCCAAGATCCACCCGCGCTACACAGGCATTTACGAGGTCACGGAAGTTGGCGCACAGGGACAGCACTCCGTGAAGCTGATTCCCCGTCACAACTCCCATGCCCAACCGCTGACACGACACGCTGCCACACTCCGGGCCTTCCAGCCATCGCTAGGTCCCCTACGGACCCCCACACCTGCGAGATCACCCCCTCCTTCTTCATCCTCCTCCTCTTCCCGATCTGCCTCATCCATTGGTGCTGAGATTTTGAGGGAGCAGGATGAACCATCGCCAGCCAGAGCATGAGCCCCTTGAGCATTTCCAGACGCCGCTTGCAGATCGCTTGTTGCGGCATCGATTCAATGAGGAAAGGCAGTTGCGGTACGACATCAAGCAGGTGAACGTGCCAGCGCCCGGGGTTGCTGATTTGGCGGCGTACTCATTGCTTTGCGATCGGCTGACGTATGCGGGGGTGTACGTGGACGTGACGCAGTTGCCTGGCCGGGAGACGACCCGAGTATTCATTGAGTTCCTCGCGCTCCAGGTGGCACCCAACTTCGTGCACAGCGTCGCCACCTTCATCGGAGACTTGACGATCCTACCGCAGCCAAATCGGGAGCCGGTGCGCAGCTTTGTGCGCGAATACGCGGTGGAAGCGGCCAGATCAGTGGCCAGATTGCAAGGACGGGGGGGACACCGATTTACAGCCCACAAAGTGCTGCTGCGTAGGGTAGAGGACGAACCGATTGCGTTGGTGCCGCAGCTTTCCTCGCTTCTCCCTCCCGCTGCTCCTCTCAACTTCCAAGTTATTCCCCCTGTCTCGTACTAAATGCCTCCCTTCTTCTCCTATACCACCCTCCCCTACCAGCTCACGAAGGGCCCTTATCCCATGCGCGAGTTCTCGGAGTATTTGGTGGAGCTAACTGACGTGGAGCCGCTGCCCTTCGCTGACGAAGACGCGTGGGAGTTGCACCGTGCGCTGTACAAGTCGGTGGCACTGGGGATGTTCCGGTTCTTCGTGGATCACGAAGACCACTGTATCGGGGAGCACTTCGTCGTCTACTACGTCATCACACGGCCCAAGCCAGCGGAGAAGGAAGGGACGGTGGCGCTGTACCCCTTCGCCCAGCTCCAGACGATCGATCCGGGATTGTTGGAGCTCATACATCTTGAGCTCCTCTCCATTGCGCAAGTGATTGTGCGCGAGGAGGAGGAGATCCAACCACGAGTGCGGACGGCGACGGCCCCGCGGAGGACATACAACGCGGTCGTCATCTCGGATTACATTGCGCAACGCGCGGAGAGGTTGGAGGACTTCCCGGAGGAAAGGCCGTTGCGGCCTCCCTCGTCGTATTCTCGACCAGCGCCACCAAAGGCCCCTAAGAAGACGCCGAAGAGGAAGAGACGCCACCCATCGCCAGGAGCGCAAGGCAGCAGGATCGGCGGCGGCGAGGAAGTGATTCAGCCCGCGCGTGCGGCGACACTCGTTAAGGAGATAGTCGTGCCATCGCCGCCCTTTCTGCGTGTCCCGATCTCAATCTTGATGGAGTCGGGCCATCATCATCAGCAGCAGCCGGAGGAGGAAGCCGAATGGGATTTCCGGATCCCATATCCAGACCCCACGTCCTCGCGGGACCTCTCCGTTCCCGCCAGCCACCCCGGGGTGCCCCGGTCATTGACATTAGTAGTTCCTCCGAGCCGGACGGTCCATCGGACAGAGGTGGACTTCATGGTGGAGCCCGCCACCATCAGGCTCGAGGCCATCGCGGGGGCGCCGCACCCTGATCCGGCCTGGGAGCCATATCTGACACCCCTTTTCAAGGGTGTATTGCGGCGCGATTGGCTGGGACGCTCATCTACGAGACCGGGCAGCGTCCCAATGCGGTGTACCACTTCCTTGTCTTCGCGGCGTAGAAGCGGGAGCGGCGGCCTTATACCGAGACTCATGTGGTGATGACGGGTCCGGGGCCCCGATCGGTGCGCAAACGGGTGGTGCGAGCGGTGGCGGATCTGGCGCCACATGTCCTGTCTCACGTGCCGGGGGCTTTCCTCTATCCCTCGTTCGTCCAGCATCACTTCCATGAGGAAGATGCGCCGACGACTACCGCGGCAATGGCCGCTTTTCTTCCACCTATTCCGCCCCCTCTCAATCCCGACATAGATCACTTCCTTTGATCACCCTCGTCTACCTTTCCCCTGTTCTCTCCTTCTCCTTCTCTTCATCYTCTTCTTCTTCTCCTATCTCCAAAGTTCGCGCATCGAGACGCGCTGTATAAAAAATAATAATAATAAAAAAATAAAAAAATTACTGATCAGGCCAGCTGACGATGAAGGGGCCGCCCGATCGGATGTATACTATGGGAGGAGGCGATGGAGGATGCAGGATGCATCCACGTAGATTAGGAAGATGATCGGGCCAGCTGACGATGAAGAGGTCGCCCGATCATCCAAGATATGATGACATCAGCAGTGGGGAGACTGCTAATTTTTCGGAACCCCCTGCGAATCACAGATGTGATAAGCTCAGATCCGTACTGCGCGGCTTGCCGTATCCCTGAGGAAAAATCTCGCGGAACCCCCGAAGTACAGACATGGACAGAAAGGGGTTTTTTGTTTTCTTTTTGCTTTTGTTTTCTTTTTTAAACGACTTTTTCATTTTGTTTGGTTAATAACTCCCACGCGGGCGAATAGCGGTCGCGGTATGAAAAGCAAGAAACGGTTTCGGTTAGAACTTTTTTTTGAATTTTTGCGCGCGCGCCTAAGCTCCGACTTCTTCGCGCGTCTCGCACC